ATAGCTTTACCGTTTACCAAAATTATTAGAATCTATTCGACACACACCTATGCTAGTAATCTCGAGGATTTATACTAGCTTCACAGAATGTGTAGACGAGCCTACAAATTTGTAAACACTAGCCCTAGCAAGAGTAGTGCTTAGCAGAAACTACCTCCGGAGGACCGGTGCTTCAAAAGGACCGAGAGCGAATCCGGGGGATCCGATATGTTTCGGATATGTCGTCTGTGTCGGATATGATTATATTGTTATTCAAGTATTATATTTTCGCTTCTCACGAAAGAAACACAATATATTACAAAGGTTCTATCTACATGACACTAATTAGGGTTCGCGCATTATACCACGTCACAATGGCGTTAGATAACAAATAGAAGTTTATGTTTCACTTCGTAATTAATTACCCGTGACAATTTTACCATCGCGCACTCAGCTTTTTGCCTTAAAATTTTCCACCGATTTTATAGATCTCACTGACTGAATAAAATTACCTCAAATACAATTAAAACTATAAAGTGAAATACACCGATTTATTGACAATAATTCGCACACAACTTTTTTTTTTTTTTATGATTACTGGTGGCCCGAAGGCCTTTCCAGTTTCACCAGGACAGGTGGGCGAACAAAGGCTCAGCCAGGAGGGGTGGGATTTGCTAACAGCTGCCCGAGCGCCTCCGAAGGAGAGCTAACAACTCAAGAGCAATTGCTTCGCGAATGAATCTACTACCGGATCGGAATCTGATGCATGGGCTAGGTTGCACGTCGACCCCTTTGTCGAGTTCGACGAGTACGGTTACTGGGGTCCCTAAGCCTGCTCCTATTATTAGAGCTGAAGGCATCTAATGCAAAGGTTATTGGATCTGATGGATCCGTAAGGACGTGTCTAGGGCGTCGACGGTGACTGGCTCCTGCATGATCAGGATTCGGTGAGTAGTCAGCGGCGGCAACAATAAGGCGATTAACATGACGCATAGCCTTATCGAAGTACCGTTCCGACGCTGACTTCATGTATTTCTGGATTGATTCAAGGCCCAGGTCGTCGTGTAGGTCAACGTTCCTCACGAACCACGGAGCCCCGACGGCTAACCTGCAAAAGCGGGATTGTAGGGATTGGAGGGTGTCTATGTGTGTGCGGGCCGCGTGAGCGAACACCACACTCGCGTAAGTCATTCCGATTCAGGCACCCGCCGCGCGCTGACGTGCCCATCGACCGTTCGATCGCCCGACCTCGGTTCGGAGCACATCTGGCGTCCAAGTGTTTTCTCGGAAGTGACTACCTGTGTTAATTGCGTCGCATCGCCGTCTGTGAGCGGGCGGACCCCTAAATTCCTAGAATTCGTTCGGTAACTTAGTGGCTCGTTTGCAAGCAGACGACTGTGTGCTGTAATTAATTGCGATTATTATAATTTTGGGGCCTCGCCGTAAGGCGAGTGTGCTTAAAGTCCCGGGGTAGCCCCCCCTGGGCACGTGATAATGGAGTCCACGATCGACCTGTTTGCGGAATTCCTCCGCCTGAGGTACCCGTCGTTATCGTCGGAATTTTTAGAATTTAAGACCAATCACGCCGCGAACTCGCCCGCGGCCTCCGTCGCACCCGCCGCTCCCGTGTCCCCGATACTCGCGAGCAAAACTCCTGT